AACTGTGTTTAAAAATTTTTACGATATGATATTGACACAATTTCAAACACAGATTTAGATTTTTAGAAGTGATAATGGTAAAGAGTATTTTAACCAGATTTTAGGGATATTTTTTACTGAAAAATGCATTGTTCATCAAAGCGCTTGCACTGACACTCCACAACAAAATGGAGTTGCAGAAAGAAAGAATAAACATCTCTTGCTCAATCTTTAATGTTTTCAACTTCAATTCCGAAATATTTGTGGGGTGAAGCAATTCTGACAGCCACATATTTAATTAACAGAATGCCTACAAAAATTTTGAATTTTCAAAAGCCATTGGAGCAGCTTAAGAAATGTTTTCCTTCCTCTCGCCTCACTTATGATCTCCCACTTAAAGTGTTTAGATCTATAGCTTTTGTTCACATTCATGGTCACAACAAGGAAAAGTTAGATTCCCGAGCAAGAAAATGTGTTTTTGTTGGATATCCCTCCACTCAAAAGGGATACAAATATTTTGATCCTCTCACTAGGAAGTTTTTTGTGTCCTAACCTTTTTTGAAAATAAACATTTTTTCTCTGACACTCATCTTCAGGAGGAGACACCAAGTGAAGATTCGAGTGATGACTTGTTAATACTCGATGTAGTAATTCCTATGCACTCAATAAATCAAAATGACGATGAATTTGATGGAAGTAAAGAATCTGAAAAACGAGTTTCTGACCATTGTGATAATACTGAAGCGGGTGGAACAATTAAGGATGTCTCAAATAATGAAAGTAGGGATTCTAGTCCTTTAACTATGCCGTTACAAAGTGGAGCTCGAAGAGAGGACGAGATGTGTGCGAGGCAAGGTGGAATTGAATTTCAAAGGAAAGTCTATAAGAGGAAGTATCCAAGATAGGAAGATAGAGTTCCCATTCCAAAGCAGAGCCAAGAATCTGAATCGATGACGAATCTGGACAATAAAGCTCAGTCAGGTAACTCTTCGTCTGAACCACAAAATATTGTGTCTAATCCAGAGTCTCTTGCCGAGTCAAATACTTCTGGTGATTTACCTATTGCTCTTAGGAAAGGGACTCGATCATGTACCAAACACCCTCTTTATAATTTTCTGTCATATAAGAGTCTATCACCTTCATTTCAAGCATTTACTACAAAGTTGTCTTGTGTCACTATTCCAAAAGATATACAAGAAGCACTAGGTGTTCCAGAATGGAGGGAAGTAGTTCTTGAAGAGATGAGAACCCTTGAAAAGAACAACACTTGGGAAATCACAGAACTCCCGAACGAAAAAACCCTAGTTGGTTGTAAATGGGTATTTACTGTGAAATATAAGGCTGACGGCTCCCTTGAAAGATACAAAGCGCGGTTAGTGGCCAAAGGATTTACGGGTCCAACTATTCACACTCCCAAACAGTAACTTTGGGGGTGTGTGAAGACTAAATTGCCCTTCTCCCAAACCAAACCAGGCCAAGTCCATTCCAGAAACACCCTCAACATCAAAAGGGCATTTTCGACAATCCAACTCCCAAAATTACTGTTTGAGAGTGGATATAGCAAACATGAGGATTTACCCAGACTTATGGCATAGACTACTCAGAAACCTTCTCTCCTATTGCTAAACTGAATACTGTGAGGGTAAATCTCTCTCTTGCAATTAATCTTGAGTGGGGATTATTCCAACTAGATGTCAAAAATACATTCCTAAATGGAGACTTAGAAGAAGTGTACATGGAAGCTCCTCCTGGTTTTACTCACAGATTTGATGGGAAAGCCTGCAGGCCGAGGAAGTCCTTGTATGGACTTAAACAGTCTCCTAGGGCCTGGTTTAAGAGATTCACGAAGTTTGTGAAGAGTCAGAATTTTGTACAAGGACAGTCAGATCATACTATGTTTGTTAAGAAATCACATGAAGGGAAGATGGTAGTGCTGATTGTGTACATGGATGATATTCTCACTGGTGACGATGTTGAAGGTATGGAAGAGGTAAAAAGGAGTCGGTCCTCTGAATTTGAAATCAAGGATCTTGGTCAACTTAGATATTTTCTTGGTATGGAAATTGCAAGATCAAGACATGGGTTAGCAGTTTCACAACGGAAATATGTTTTAGATCTCCTAGAAGAGATTGGAATAACCGGATGCAAACCTTCAGACACACCTATAGAGTTTAATTCCAAGTTAGGAGAAATAAAGGAAGGAGTGCTAGTAGATGCAGGTCAATATCAACGCTTGGTAGTGAAGCTGATCTATCTGTCTCATACACGCCCAGACATTTCATTTGTTGTTAGTCTGGTAAGTCAGTTTATGCATGCTCCTTATCTGGAACATCTTGAAGCAGTGTACAAGATTATGAGGTACTTGAAAGCTACTCCTAGAAAATGACTTTTCTTCAGGAAAAATACCCACCGTGGAGTTAAGGTTTATACGGATGCAAATTGGGCTGGCTCGATAACTGATAGAAGATCTACTTCTGGATATTGTACATTTTTGTGGGGAAATCTAGTAACCTGGAGAAGCAAAAAAGCAATGTTGTTGCAAGGAGTAGTGTCGAAGCTGAGTACCGAGCAATGGCTCAAGGTGTTTGTAAAATATTATGGGTGAAGAGACTAATAAGCGAACTTGGCATACCGGTTGAACGTCCTATGAAATTATTCTGCGACAATAAGGCGGCTATCAGTATTGCAAATAATCCAGTTCAGCATGCAGAACTAAACATGTTGAGATTGACAGGCACTTAATCAAGGAAAAACTTGAAGGAGTGGTGTGCATTCCATTCTTGCCGTCCAATCAACAGATTGCAGATGTCTTCACAAAAGGGCTTCTAAGGCAGAATTTTGAGCATTTTGTAAGCAAGTTGGGCATGTTGAATATCTATGCACCAACTTGAGGGAGAGTGTCGGTTTCTTTGGTAAAAGGCACATTTAGAAGTTACTTTTTTATTTTAGGTTCTATTAGGAAAGTTTGGTATATTAGGAAAGTTGGTATATTAGGAAAGTTGTTTTTTAGAAAGTTAGATTTTCTCTTCTATATAAAGCATTGTACTGATTGATTACAGAATAAGACTTTAAGAGTTTTTTTACCCCAAAACACGTTTACAATATGTATATATACATATATATACACATATATATGCATATATACATATATATACACACATATATATGCATGTGTGTGTGTACACACACACATATGTACGTATATGTATATATATACACACACATATACATATATGTATATATATACACACACATATATGTATATGTTATATATATACACATATATGTATATATGGGCAAAAATACCAATTTGGTATATTTATTTACCCTTAGTGACACTTTGGTATATATTTTTTCCTGGTGACATTGGTATACTTACTTTTTCTCTAGCGACAAATGAGCCTCAAATTTGATCGCAAATTTCCGATGAAATTTCTCATGTGACGTCTCACATGGTGCAAACGTGGCTGCCAGCATAGCTTCCAGCATCATAAATCAGCTCCAATCCCAAACCTTAACCCTTCAATCTCCTTCCTCCTCCACCTCTCTCTCTCTTCCCTCCTTTGCTCCTCTCGCCTCTCTAATGCCTCCCAGACCTTCAACCTCTTCAAATCCTCTCTCGACTCTCGACCCGCCCCCTCCCTCTACAACCTCCTCATCTCCGTCTTCGTCAAACACAACTAACACCAACAAGTTCTACAATGGTACCACGTCATGATCCAAGATCGGGTCAAGCCTGATGTGTACACTTTTAACATCCTCATCGGTAGCTCGAATCATTTTCGGTGGCGACTTGAGAGATTTTGATCAATGGGCTTTGTAGAGAAGGAAGAGCTTTCGAAATGTGCGAGATTTTGATGGGTTTCTTAGCGAAAAGAGCGGTGCCTAATGGGTTCGATTGCTTCATGTTAGTCGGAGCTTTATGCAACTACGGGAATGAGGATAGAGTTGTTGTGATTTGTAGCTCATTAATGGAGAGCTTGAGGAAATGTGGGAAGATAGATGAAGCTATTGGGTTTAAGGAGAGTGATGGAGAAGGTGATAGTTTTCGATGGGATTAGTTGCAATTGCTTACCACTGGAAGCCACATTGGTAGCCACATTCCCATCACGTGAGGCGTCACGTGAAAAAATTCACCAGAAATTTGGGTCCGGCCCAATTTGAGGTTCATTTGTCGTCGGAGAAAAAAATAATATATCAATATGTCGCTAGAGAAAAAATAATATACCAATATGTCGCCGGAAAAAATATATATACCAAACTGTCACTAAGGATAAATAAAATATATCAATTTGGTATTTTTGCCTATATATATGTGTTTGCGCACACACACACCGCACATATATGTATATATATATACACACATATATGTATACATATATATATACACATATATATGTATCTATATATATATATACACAGACATATACGTATATGTATATATACACACACATATACCTATATGCACGCACACACGCGCACACGAACATAATACTTGTACTATGCGAGCACGGGCATAATACTTGTACTTAAGAAATACATCTACATTAAATGAGGAATGTACATATATAAGAAGCTCATGACTGCTTCAAATACAAGAACAGTTCTAAGATACTGACATGATTCATCATCCTTAGTCATAGATCTGAATGCAGAACCCTACCAGGAAACCTCAAAACAAGTTAACCAGAAAATTTATAACCAAGTACCTGCAGCCGCAGGCAGTAAGAACTAGAACTTCTAAAAAATTAGTTAATCACTACATTATGTACAATTTTAGATGAGAGCAAGATTTAATAAATAGACTGTGACATCTTATAGAAGACTGAAGTTGCAAGCATCACATCATGTTGGAAAGCTTGTTTCCTTTTTCATTCAGAATCTATGTATAAAAAGAATTGCGGAGCAAGAGAGAAACATGACGCTAATGAGAGAAGCATACGAGTTCTCTAATAAGATTTCTAAGTAGGCACTATGTTTGTTACATATTTTATATGAATAATCAAAAGAGGATCCCTTACTTGAATGACAAGCCAAGGTCATAATCGCTAGACTGGAAAATGCGCCTAAATGAATCCTTGAAAACAGAATGACCAAAACTCTCCGCAAGCACAACAATTCCACCACTTCTTTCAACTGCAACTTTTAGTTCTGACAATCCAACCTGACAAGCAAAATAACAGAACAAAATGAAGCTACTTTGATTCTCTAAATCTGAACAAAATACAACAGCAACACTGCCATCTAGAGGGGAATACAAACAACACAATAGAAAACTAAAGCAATACTTGGAAGAAGACACATCCAAAATGGAACGGTACAATAGTAATGAGAAATAGAGATAATATTTGCAAGCCAACAAACTACAGGATATCCATTAGAATAATGGAATATAATTTTAGGTGTATCTTTGAGGTCAAATGTCAGAAGAGACAAGTGCATAACTTCAGGCATAAACATAACAATTTCAGACAGATGGAAAAGTAAAGTGCAGTATCAACAGGCAAGAACATAATATTAAGTTTGATGTATTATCATTTGCCAAAAATAAGAACAAAGTGCAGTATCAACAGGCAAGAACATAATATTAAGTTTGATGTATTATCATTTGCCAAAAATAAGAACAATATCAAAACATTCATCCTGATTTCCAAAAATTAAGTTTGATGTATTATCATTTGCCAAAAATAAGAACAATATCAAAACATTCATCCTGATTTCCAAAAAAATTTAGGTCCACAAACGATTTGTTTTTCCTCATTCCAGAGTTTCCATATATGATGCAATCTAGTCTTTTTATCCCACTTCTGGATTGCTTTGAAGGGATAATAGAAAGCCCCAGGCTTAACTTGCATTCATCCCTGAGATTCTAAACAACAGATCTGTGAACTCACAGTACGTAGAAACTTAAGCCGTCATAGGGTTTATACAGGCTGGAACTACATGATTCATGTGTAACCAAAAAGGGTCTGTTGACTTTTCAACATCAGTCCCCAAAACACATTTGAAAAGTGTCCTTGTTATTGTGTGCTTCCAAAGTAACTCTTTTAATTTATAATCATTCTTTGAAATTAATCTCCACTATGTCGTGTATGTACCAATGATAATTATGCATGTCTTTTTTTAGTGTCCACCAAATGAATTTGTAATCCAAATTGTTAGAAGAAAACAATACCTCGTATTGTGAAGTAGTTTCAAGTTTTGTAAATCATTGGTTGCATAAAGAATCATATTCCTTATGTAGATTCCCGACTTAGAAACTGAACGAATATACAAATGCAAAGCAAGCGGAAATCAAATAGAAAAGTTAATTCAGACGTTGGATCTCAGACCTGGTCAAGCGCACATGCAAACAGATCAAGCACATGTCCTTGATGTACAAGCTGTTTCGAGAGCCCCTCATAGAACTTGACAGCTTTACTGTAAAGAGAGGCCGAGCCTTTATCTAAGTCCTTGTGAGAACGAATAGGCTCGGATAAATTCTTGGATACAATCTGTAGAGGTGATACAGAATATAAATAAAACATTTTAAAAGCTGCCAGAAGACTAAAGAGCTGCAGATTTTAATTCATACAAGGTCCTGATCAGAAGAATTCCCTTTAGTACAAAAGGATAATTGAAAGAGTGATTAGCCATTGGAATCCTTATCAACAGGTTTCAAACAATAAATCAAAGCAGATGATTCAGTATTAGAATAAATAGCAGAGAACTTACAGAGCCAGCACCTTCCGTTGATGGACCACCGATGAAGGCCATAATCCTTGCCCCAGAACCAGGTACACAAACTCCTAATAAACTAGCTGCTATGCTTAATGCTGTGCTGGTGCATCGTGATGCACGCTCATCTGCTGGGACAGGCCAAGGATCTTTTTGAAGTTCCTCCAGAAACTAACCATTCAAATGTAAAATATAAGACACAGATTTAGAATGTAAAGCAAAGGAAAAGATGTAGTTAGTCTCCAAAAGAGGCAAGGAAACAACTACAGTTACTATACTACTAACTTCGCAACCTGGGCATGTTATGGAGAACAGTAAGAAAAATATCACAAATTCACATGGAAATTAAATTTTACCACCTGGATCTTCCAGAAGAAAAATATCACAAATTCACGTGGAAATTAAATTTTACCACCTGGAACTTCCAGATGAATTCAAGTTGAACTTTATTGAAATTAATAATGATAAGAAACCCTGGTATTCCTTCATTTAGTAAATAACATTTCAATTTCTTTGATCTACATTATAAGATTCAAAATGTTCATATATACAACAAAAAAGCAACATAAAAATGGGAAACTTAACTGAAATTAGGACAAACTCGCACTCAGATGCAGGTAACAGGAACCTAGCAATACTCTCTGCTGATAGACCATCCCTAGTCCCAGCAATTACTCCAACAGGCGGCCTTGGTTTCTGCACAAAGAAATTCATTTGCTCCAGAATTTGATCCTTTGTGATCTCTTTTGAACCCTTGAATACATATGATTTTGGCATTTGCCCAAATCCTAACTCATGAACCTGCATGGATAAAGAGATCTTTGCATCTTCAGAATAACAGCAACCTTCTAGCAAGAAAAAGTTTATCTTGAATATAACAAAACCTGCACATAAGTTCCGAAGGTTATTAACCCAACAAGGGACTTTTCGGGAAGCAACTCGATAGCCTGGGCCAATGCAGACTTCAAGTACCCGAGCTCCTCCTCAATGATACAGGTGTCAAGCACGAAGAGGAACACTGGGGGCACGGTTGGGCCCGTGTCTGGGGACGACTCTACTCTATCGGGTAGTGTACTGAGAGTATAGTTCAGAGCAGGAGGTTGCCCTCGAGATAGACGAATAGTGCTGCGGAAAATGGTTTCTTTGATAGCAAAACGGGCAAATCCAAATATTTGCAACGTAGTCCACAACGGAGAACGGGTTGAGAATAGAACGGCAGATTCTGCAACGAAGCGGACCATAGGGAAGGACGGGGACATTTGGGACGGGCTTCAGTGGGGTGTAGATGCAGGCTGTAGGGATAACACAGCTCGTTGCTTCCTGTTTCGTGCCAGGAAACACATTCCAAGTCATTCTAACGCCATCTTGAGACTCAAGATCTGCAAATTCTGCCATCCTTTGCCGGCTTATGCCCGTATCCTACTATTTGCTCGTATATTTCTATTTATCAGAAATAATCTGTCAGTCCTTAGCACGGATTAGAAGCAGACGAATGTTGGACTTCTATAATTTATAGCTGAAAAGACAACAATTGAATTGCAATTAAAACCAATTTTGCAGTTCAACTTATCCAATATCATAGAAGACGAAACAAAAACTTCTGCTAATTTGATTGTTCTGTTCTTCAAATTAGTATCGAAAAATCTTCAAGTTCAAACATCTAGATTGCGAGTCATCAATTCTTCAATGAACGAATCTACAACTGCAGAACTCTCAAACCTAGGAAGTCATCGATTGTTCCTCGATCGCGAGAGTATGATTCGTAACAAATCAAAGCCTAGGAAAGAAAATTTCCCAGAGGAAAAAGGGCGACTGTAGCTTACCTTTGTCCAAGTCGATGAATTCAGCGAAAGGAAACACTGAGAGAATCAAAAGCCCTACGAAGAGAAGATCTCTGCTGCTTCAAGGTCTCTGCACTTTGCTGATATTGGATCGGATTCTTTCGAGTTCCCGTTTAGGGCGAAAGCAAAGACAGAATCTTTCTAGATTCAAGTACGAATTGGCTGTAGGCTGCATTGGGTTCGGGTTCATGTAAGATCCGAGTCCATAAACTTTGTTTTTAAATAAAAAATAAGGACATACTAAAATGTTAACATAATTATTATGTTAAATAAATTAGTTAAGTGAATTATATGATATTACATTGGGTTTAAAATTTTGAGCTCAAATCAAATAAAATTCTGATCCGACATAGGTTTGGTAGAGTTCAACATTCTACATTTGTGCTTGTCTTGAAATTGAGATTTGATTCCATGTCTAAAAATAGAATTATATTATCATGAATATACTAATAAACTCTCTTGTATCATGAACTATATTTTATTTCTTGAATATTATCTATTTTTCTCATATTTGTTTTGCATACGATTATATTTTCGCATGTATATACATATTTGTAACCAAATTCATATTTAGTGAATATGGATATGAATTTCTTATTGAGTCTTTTTTTTTATCTGTATCCATGATTGTTAAACTCATACAAATATACTAAGTACTATTAAGTACCATATTTGAGTTGTATCCAAACCGCCCCTATATGTAGGATAATAGCAATCAACGCAATAAGAAATTAGAAATCAATTAGGAAAAAAGCAAATAAAAATGTTCAAAATAAAAGGATGGGTTATGCCATATGCTCCTTAACTTGTTACTTTAAGCCCACGAACTTATTCAAATTTTTAATTAGTATTATTTTCTCTAAGAAATTAATTACTAGTGCTGCTCATTCTTTTCAAGGCAATAAGCCTACGAAAATATTGTACATACTGAGTGTTGTAACTTTCTCTTGCTGTTTAATAAAAACAAGTTTGCGAAATGAACCATGTGAACAATCAAATGAGAACTAACATGTGTGCTATTTATAGGAAAGATGCTACGAAATGTGAAATTTTTGCTTAATTGTTAGGAAAAATTGTGTCAAGGCCCCAATTTAAGAATCCTCATGTGATCAAGCCGATTAACTTTTTAATCATGTGTTTTGGCCCATTAACCTAAGTTCTCATGTGAAAAAACTCCTTTTTATCTTTTATCACCAAAATACCCTCACCCTCAACCTCTCATCACTTTTTTTATAAACCCACAAATTATTCTCCTCCTCCTCATTCTCCTCAACCGTTATCTCTTTCACCACAACCTCCGTCATTGCATTATGCTTCTCTTTCTTCTCATTTTTTTGAATTACTATCTTTTTCGCCTTCACGATAACTTTTTTATCAATTTTATCTTCTCTCTTCCTTCTCCTTTGATTAAGGGTTATCTTTTAAAGTTATGCCGAAATTAATACATAACATATAAAGTTAACATCTAAGACTTACAATTACGATCTAACAACTAAATGTAACATGTGAGGTCTAAAGTTAACATCTAACAATTTTAAAACTTTTATATTGATTTCAATAGTTAGACATTAACTTTTATACTCATTTGTTAACCTTAGACCTTATGTGTTAACTTTTATTATTAGATGTTGACTTTAAATCTCACTGTTAACTCCATACCTCATGTCAAATTTTATTGTTAAATATTAACTGTAAGGTTTAGATGTTAACTTTACCAATTAATGTGACCTTAGAAAATGATTATTTATCCAAGGAATACGGCTTTAAGAGATGAGGCTTACAACTTTAAAAGATAAGGTGACAATTATGAAAGAAAAAAAAACAGAGATAAAAAAAAGAATGGTAAAAATAAATGGAAGAGGAGGGAGGGGAAGAAAGGTGACTAGAGATGGGGTTAAAGGAGAAAGGATGAATGTGGTTGAGTGAAGGAGGAAGAATGGGGGAGGCAAAAAAAAAAAAAACGACGATGATGAAGTAAGAATAGAGGAAAGAGAAGCGAGGAGAATAAAGTTGGACGAAGAAGTAAAGAAGATAGAGGGTAAGCAGAAAAAAAGAGAAGGGGCTAGAATGGAGAAGGGAGGAGGATGATGGTAGGGAATAATTGAGGAAGAGAGGAGGTGGAATGAAGAAATAGAGAGAATACATGAGGAGGAAGGAGAAAATGAGGAAGAAGACAATGAGTATTTTTAGGGATGCGATGAAAATATGCGTTGGGGAGGGCTTTTTCACATAGGTACCGTTTGGCAAAGGGTTAAGTGAGGGGTTAAGGAGACTTAACCTCTTCTTAACCTGCCAAACACAATAAATCTATATAAGGGTTAAAGTGAGTTAACCCTCCATAATTTGCCAAACATAAAAAATATAGAAGGGTTAAGTTAACCCCTCTAGAGAGATTAAAATGAGTTAACCATGATAGAATATAATATTTGACAATATCCTTGTAAATACTCTAAATATTAGATTGATATTATTTACCTAATTTAGTTAAGCAAATATTCTCTGTCAAAGATATCCCCTGTAATTAGGCAAAGATATCCCTTGTAATTAGGCAAAGATATCCCTTGTGAGGTTTACTAATACTCCTATTTAGATGGAATAAGAGTTAACCCTTCTAATTATAAAGAAAATAGTCAAAATCATTGTTATTCCCAAACACTAAAACTGATCATAAGGGCTAAAATAAAACTTATTTAACAGGTTAATAATTTAGTACTTCGGATTATCAAATGGGCTAAGTACATTAATCCTTCTCTTTAACCCCTCTTCATTAACCCTTTGCCAAACGGGACCATAAGAATTTAGGCCAAGAGGCTAAAAACACATGCCCAAAAAGTCAATAGGCTTGGTGACACGAGGGTTCTTACTAAGGGGCCTAGATGCAATTTTTTCTAATTGTTAAAAAGGTTGATAAATCAATCTAAATTGATATGCGGGCTACTGGTAAATCTACCCTCTACAGTTTCAGATAAAGAGGAGCCACGGTCCACACATAAAACCTCACCAAGAGCGATACAAGATGGATATAAACTCCAAACTGGGACTCGATAGAAAAATGGGTTCTCTCTATTTCCTCTCCTTCTCATGGCGCTCACAGCCTCAACCAATGCTCTCCCTTTTATCTCCCTCGCTAGAACAAATAAACCATCTCCCAACTTCATCAGCCCATTACATCTCCCTTGCTACAAATCCATTTCTAATCTCACAACAGTTCGAACTCAATGCGATGTCTCGGTCTCAGTGGCCTTCAATCCCTCAGGAAATTTCGACCTCTCGCTCACCGCGGACGAGGAGGGTGAGAACTACTTCATCTCGGTTGTCATTAGCTGTTGCAATGGGATTGCCTGCTACCTGCTTGTTTCTTTGTCTGCGAGAAGTTATGAGGAGTGTGTTATTATTTTCTCTTTTGCCCAAGTTTGCTTTTTTACTCTCTTAGTTGTTATGTATTTAGAACTGCTAGTAGCCCTTTTGATTAGAAGCTGTGACCAATTAAATCTTTGATCAAACAATTGTCATGAAGGTAGAGCCCTGTAAACTGCAGAGAGGCTGTTCACTATTCAAGACTAAATAATGCAACTGATACTGATATTTTATTGATCCAAGTTATTCCTAATTGGGTAGTTTTTATCTATGTGAAACTATTTTCACATACATATTGTTGGGAATCTTAGCTGTTTAGACAATAACGAAAATCAGTTTAAGCAATTTGATAATTAATAACGATAAATTACATTATAAGCGCAGATATAAGAAATATATCAAAAAATGAAAAAGTAATAGAGGTTAGAAATATCGGCCTATGGTCGAGGGTCGTGCCAAGCACTGTCCCAAAGAAACTAATTGCCCCTCTCTCGTACAGGGCTACGGCGGCAAAAGCGTCCCGAGATACCAACGACCACTCGGTCAGGCGACCTCCTTCTCTCGGCACGAGCCTTCAAGAAGGCTTTGCGAATTCTCGTAAATTTTTCAGGAACCAGCAAATTGTATACAGTAAGATTTGAAAAGAGAAAGAACAGAGAAGGTGAAGAAGAGTTGTGCTTTCGCTGTGTTAAAGCTCTGCGGATTTTAGATCCTTTTATAGGGAAAACAGCCAGTACTTAAAACCCCGTATTAACAACGTTTTTAATCACGTTAATAAAACTTAGCCGTTATCAAAACATTTTCGCGTTTTACATAATTAATTCGCAAAATGTTTAATCACGTTTTTAATCACACCTAATAAATATTTTCCCGTTACAAAATAATTTCGGTTACAAATATTTATCACATGTTAATTGTTTCAAAATAAAATTATATTTTATATTGTAAAAAATAAAAATGTAGGCAAGATTACGGTCCCATTAATCCGGAGCTGCATCGTGTCGCAGGTCGTGTGCGCCGCAGCCAACCCGACCGAACCCGAACCCGAGCCCGCGAGCCGCCCGCCGGCGCGGGGAGCGCAGTTGTGGTGTGGAGCATAACCTTTTTTTCTTCTAGGCATAGGAGAGAAAGGGAAGGCTTATAAGACCTCCCTTTTTCGTATCCATTTCCTAATGTGGGACTAAAACTTTCCACTCTTTTCCCTCTAACAAAGTCAAGGTTTTAAGTTATCTTTTATTATATAATTCACACAATCGCCCCCACATAACTTAAAACTTAAAATATTTCAGAAATAACAATAAAAAGAAGAACATTAAAAATAAATACGATTGCTGGTTTCCCTTAATACTATTAATAGGTGGAGGTACCTTTCGTTTGACCTTCACTTTAAGTGACAGTTGTATAGATCCGTGAGAAGCTTGGTGGACTTCGCCGAACCCATCTCATTTATCGGATTTCTACAGAAAGTCAACATAGTACAGTTTGAAGAATTCTAAGGGTTGCGCTATTATCGGCCTTTGCGCAGGTATCGTTCATGTGTGTTACTATAGGGAGCAGGCCCTATCCCATAAGTCGCGCCTCACAACTACACACATATAGGTGAATCCTAATAAGGATGCGACAGTAACAGCATCCGTGCCTCATGGTCTTGGATTCATTAAGAGTTAAGCTCACCTTTCACGTTGCTTTTTTATGAGCACTGATCACCCCTAGGATGGACAAAATGAAATTCAGTGCTCTCACAATTAATCACTCATTCAGTTTTTGTTTCTACCCATTGAACCCTCTGCGAGGTTTGGTTGCCACTGGCAGTGATTTTCTTAAGGCTTAACCCCATCCCCTCAATGATTCTAGGGACGCACTGCCTAGATAAGCCTTTTAGTTAAGTGATCTGCAAGATTTTCTCTGATCTTACAAAATCTAAGGCATATATATGATTTTTCTATCTTATATCTTAAGGATTTATGGGCGCACTTTCAAGTGTCGATTCATCTATCCAACCATTTGCATTCCTGATGGCATTTGTCAATCGCTGACCTGCAATCACAATGAATAGAAATGCTGGTAATGTTTTTTGGCATTAGTGGAATTTCAGTTATTAATCTTTCAACCATTCAACTCTAATACTAAGTAGTATCAAGAGCTATCATTTCTGATTCCATTGTACTTCTAGGCCATTTACTAGTTTTGTTTAGTAGATTTCCAAGGACACAGCTCCTCTCCTAAAAGGAAAACACAAATCCTGTGGTGGATTTTACATCTAGCTGATGTCACTAATCCATTAGCATCTGAATAACCTATCTAGTACAGATGGATAACCTTTATAGTGTAAACCTAATTCTTAGTTCTTTTTAGGTACTCAAAAACTGCTTTCTAAGAGGCATCCCAGTGACTCTTTATCAGGATTTGATGTATATCTACTAAGCTATTACTGCATGCATGTCAGGTCTGGTATAGTTTGTTAGGAATCCTAGCTGATCCCATTATTTGTGCATATTCTCTTTGTAATTGAGGTATGACCTGTATTTTTCTTTAAATCGTACATTAGGATCATATGGAGTGGGAAACAGGTTGACAGTTGGATCAATAAAATCTTAAGGATTTCTCTATAATAGTGTGAGGATAGCACATATCCAATTCTCATTTTTCAGGATTTAGTATTAAGAATAGGTCGCGTTGACGTAAATCTTTCATGTCAAAATTTTGTGAAAAAAGTGTTTGATAGTCATTTAATGATTTGTATGTCAGATACAAAAATAAGAATGTCATCAAACATATAGGCATAATATCACAATTGTTGTTTATCTATTTTAGTGATATTACAAACTCATCTGTTGATAATTACAAATCCCATAAGATAGTTAATTTCAAGTCAAATTTTCATATGGACATTGTTTTGGGGCTTGTTTGAACCATATAGTGATCTAGATAAGCTTGGCATACTTTCTTTCTTGTCCAGAAAGCTAAAATACCCTCAGGTTGATCCATAATAAATTTCTTCAATCTAGTCTCGCATTTAAAAATGCAGTTTAACATCCATTTGATGTAATTATAATTTTGAAATGGAATGCTAAGCTATGAGGAGCTCTAATGTAATGTAATAGTAATCCTAGCTACTGGAGAATAAGAAAAACATCCAAAATAATCAATACCAACTTTTGGGTATATCCTTTAGCTACTAATCTGGCTTAAAAATTATCTATTGTTCCATCAGGTCTAAGTTCTTCTAAACCACACGCCATTTCATCCTATGGTTTTACATCCTGAGGAAGATCAGTTAGTTCGCCAATATCATTGTTGAAACTATATATTGTATCTCATTATTGTATATGCTTGCCTTCCAAAATGGCGGCATCTACTTGATTTCATTGCATCTTCAAATGTAACTGGAGAATCTTCTACAAGAATGCATAGAAATCTTCAAATGAGACTTTTCTATTCTAGTTCTTTTTACTTCTTCCTAGGCTCCTCTGGACTTTCCTAGTGGTAATTTGTTTAGAACTAGTTATACCTTGTATTAGAATAGGATGCTGAGTTATTTAGAGCTAGGGCCTTCTGTGTTGTTTATGTCTGGTCTGTTAAGGAAAAATATTTTCAAGTAATGTGGCATCCCTACTTCAATTATGGTGTTGTTGGCTATCTCATAATGTCAGAGTTGATTATTAAATCTATTTGCATTACTAAATCAGAAGCATAGCAATAAAAATTCCATCTAGCAGTTTTAGGCCCAATCTTTTTCCATTTATTCTCAGGTATTTTGAAATTTGCTAAGCACCCCCAACGACTTTTTAGGGATCTAAATTAGGGTTTCTATTCTTCCAAATTGTGTAAGGGGTTTATCAGTTTCTTTGAATGGAAATCTATTAGTATATGACATGGCACGTCATGAGAGTTCCCCCAAAATTTTCTGACACACCAGAATTAAATTAACATTGAGTTTACCATATCCAATAGTTTTCTATTCTTTCACTCAGCTTACTGACCATTAGAATTGAGGTGTATATGGGAGCAGTTTATTTCAATGAATAATTCCATTCTCTCACAAAACTTGTTTTAGTTCATTAGAAGTGTACTCACCACCTCTATCTGATCTTTAGTATTTTAATTTCTTATCCAGTTGATTTTCAACTTCTCTGTTATATATTTAAATTTGTTAATGACTTCATCTTTGGTCTTAATTAAAGTAGAGGTAACAATATTAGAGCAATTCGTCTATAAAAGTTACAAAATATTTGTTACCCCTCTAGTTGTTCTTCGCTGGAATCACAAACAATCACTATGGATGAGTTCTAATATCTCAGAATCTTAATCAATAATTTTAAATAGGTTCTTAGGAAAGTTTGGCTTCTAACACATATTTCACATTTTTCATCATCTTTTATATTAAGCTTTGAATTATATTTGAGATCATCAATCTTTATTGAATATAATTTCCACGATGTCCTAATCTTGATGGCCCAAGTGATTGAAAGTTTCAATATTCAAAGCTATTGGAGGATGCGAAGAGTAGAATTCTTATCATTCATTAAAAAGACCATCACATAAGAAACCTTTTCCAATGAAGTTCAACCGCTTAGTTATACAACTTTATTTGATTACAACAAGCTTATAAGCCTTGTGCACTAACAATAGATCCACTAAATTAAGTTTGCTCCTAATGTCTCGTACAGTGATGGACATCCTGCAGGATCAAAGTCTTATCAGAAGTGTAAGCTTTAGGTTGATCCGACTATTGCCGGATACAGGAGCCACATTATTATTTCCCATTGTCACAGTTCTCTACTTGAGACCTGATAGGTGGAAAACAAAGATTGATTAGAGCAACACGTGAATAATTACTCCAGGTCCACCACGAATGCATTTGCTTGAAAGGTCATGTTACTTCAAGAGGAAGGAGAACAGACCTGAAAGCAGCCTCAGCTGGACTGAAGTCAT